ATTAAGAAAAAACATTGCTTAAATGAAATCATGCATGCATGCATGGCCACGGCATCGGGCGGCGACTTGCGGTTCGTCATACATGCTAGCTAGAAACTTCGGTCAATGCGGGAGCCAAAATTCTGAGCACCGACATTTGCCTTCATATCCTTGCACAGGAAGTTTGGCCAAGAGCTTTCTGTGGCACTGCTAATACGGGCAGCAACTGCCAATGCACGCAAGCAAAGTTTCTTTTAACAGGACAGCAAGCCTTTGCTGCTCCCATTTTGGAGCTCCTTCAGAGACAAAAACGCGAACCAAGAGAACTCAGTGCAAGCAGTAGCCGGTCTCTTTCGCAACCGACCACATTAATTCCTGAGATCGCTTTGCTTGCGACCAAGCAGCGAGCTCTGCACGCAAGCTCAGCAAGCAATTCAGCTTCGGTCTTCTCGTTCTCCCTTTCCCCGACGTCAGCCACTGCAAGCTTCCCAACAGCTTTGCTTGCTCGTCAGGTTGCCATGTCTCAAGAATGCAGAGATGGCTAAAGTGCATGCTGCGATGCTCGAGCAAAAAAACGACATCATCAAGCACAGGCATGTACGTGCAGCAATGCAAGGCAAACACTGGACAGAAGCAACTGAAATCGGTCCTCTTCTTTGCTCGAAGACTGCTTCTCGGCCAAAATTTTATAGGTCTCGCTCACCTGAATTAATTCAAAAAGAATTCCATCCGTATACACTGCCCGCATGCATGCCGGATGCATTAGAATTCCTGCCAAGGAACTCATCCAAGCTCAGCTGCCTTTCTCAGGTTGTTCACCCAGCTTTTCGCTTTCCATCTTAATCTTTCTGGTCTCGGTGCTTCTGGTCCTCATTTCACAGAAGTCATCAATCGAAAATCTCTCTGAAAGATTAAGCTCTATCGGACACATGCATGCATGCAGACATGCACAGCATGCAGCGACGACCGGCCCTCGGATTTTTTTTCACTTCGATGCTTCCAATCGCGGCACTTTGTTGGCAGACAGAAACCTGAGCAGTACGGCTTTGGAGACGGCTTTGATACTGAACTTTCCGCCTCGACGAGCGGCCAAGATCGCGAGTGTGTGTCCGAACGATTCGTCACGGTAGGTCCAGTAGAGTGCGGGGCTGGTACCCTCGTCAGTCTCATCGCGGCTGCATTCCAACAGCATATGTGCTTTGGGTTTCACTCTGAACAAAAGATCCGCCTTGTAGTACTCCTCCAAGGAGCTCATGAAAAGCAGAAACTTTTGCACGTTCTCTTGGAAGCGGTGTACGTCCCATGTCGCAGTCGACAAGCCATTGTAGATCGCCTGCAATGCCTGACAGGCTCGGAACATAGTCGCTTCGTGCTCCTTGGACATATCGAGGTACTTGTTCGCGAGCTCGATCATGCAGGGAACCAAAGCCCTTGCTTCACCAGCTTTCGCCCTTAGCTTAGGCGGTTTGGCTTTCCCCTGCTCTACAGCTCGTAACATAGTCGGCAGTAGTTTCGG